CTAACCGTATTATATATGAATCTTAATTAATGATTAAATTGAGCTCAACATGAAATTTTACATACATCAAATAATAAACAGTTATTACACAAGGTACACAGATTTTTCAAGTGTCTAAACTATATAATCGTTGTTAACTTTAAGATTATTTAAAAGAATTTAATTAAAATCTAAAAAAAAAATTTATCTCATTACTTCATTATATTAAAAACAGCCTTACTTTTTGATAAACTCATCAACTAGTTAAATTTAAATTAATTTATTAAGAAATTACCAAAAATTTATATTAAATAATTCAAAAGCAAGTCTATTGAAGCAAATTGAAGAAAAAAAAAAGGAAACAATGATTTGTATGGTTATAATTCATATTGAAATATGTTAAAATGATTTAATTTTTTTATCAATAAACCCCCTTCAATATTAGATTAATTGGATAAGAAATCGAGAAAACTAACTGAATATATATAAAAAAGAAAATCATTAATTATGAAAAGATCATAAACAAGAGGAATGAATCTATCAATAATTGAAATCAATTTTAGTATAAATAAAAATATTCATATAAAATAAAATATTCTATGTTATTAAAAAATCAAGTAATGCAGATATCGAAATGAATTCTCAATAGCATAATTAACATCTACTACAATCAATTCCCAATCTATACAAAGTCCTAATTTCTATTTTACAGAAATGCTTAAGATACTTTTATCGATTTTGCAGTATATAAATTAAAGTTAGAGTAATAGAAATTCAATAATAAAAAAAAAAAAATGGGATGCTCTTTTTAAAAGAAGAAAGCTCTGGGTTAAAAAACACAGCTTTTTCGAACGGGAGCTGATATCTTGGATGAAGTAAAAGATGTAGATATACAAATCTTTGGTGTCATACTAGAATTATTAAGAAAGGAGCAAGGTCAAGATTGCATTGGATTTTTATCAGATATTGGGAATCAGAAACAATTAGAATTATAAATTTTATAATAATTAGGGAATATTACTCAAGCTGATATAGAATAGAAATTGTCTGTTATTGGAAATGACATGAAATAAATTACAAATTTATTAAAAAAATTAAAAAATCATGACTTCAATTACAAAGACTTTTCCTCTAAAGAAAATGAAGAATCAACATTTAGTTTAATTTAAAGCATCAAAGATAATAGAAGGATCATTGAATTTCTGTATTTTTTAGTTCACCTCACATCCATTGATGAAACTTTGATATAATGTGGGTCTAATTCTTTACATTTATTAGTTTAGATGAAGGAGGACCTTAGAATGAAAAATTTGGAAAATATTAAGATCTAAAATACTTCTTTAGTAGGAGCAAATTTTGTTAGGTGTAATTTAAGTAAATCATAATTTAATAATGTCAATATAAGTGGAATAAATCTAAATGGAGCATAATTATTTCATTGTAAATGGAAGGACTTAAGAATCCAAGAATTAAATATACTACATGGTCATAGTGATTAAGTAAGATCAATTTGTTTTTCTCCTGATGGAAAAACATTAGTTTCTGGAGGTGGTATGAAATATAAAGGTATCCTTCTATGGGATGTCAAAACAGGATAATAAAAAGCCAAATTAGATGGTCCTATTAGCACTGTCAATTCAGTCAGTTTATCTCCTAATGGAAATATATTAGCTTCTGGATATGATAATGGCTCTGTCTTATTATGGGATACTAAAACAAGAAAGAAAGGAGCAAAATTAGATGGTCATATTGGCAATGTCCTCTCGGTTTGTTTCTCTCATGATGGAAAAACATTAGCTTCTAGTAGTAGTGATAAGTCTATCCGTTTATGGGATGTCAAAACAGGATAATAAAAAGCCAAATTAGATGGTCATACTAGTTATGTTATGTCAGTCTGTTTCTCTCCTGATGGAAATACATTAGCTTCTGGTAGTTATGATTATTCTATCCGTCTATGGGATGTCAATACAGGATATTAAAAAAACCAAATTAGATGGTCATAATAGCATTGTCTACTCAGTTTGTTTCTCTCCTGATGGAAATACATTAGCCTCTGGTAGTGATGATAACTCTATCCGTCTATGGGATGTCAAAACAGGATAATAAAAAGCCAAATTAGATGGTCATAGTAATGATGTTAGATCAGTCTGTTTCTTTCCTGATGGAAATACATTAGCTTCTGGTAGTA